TTTAAATATTGGTGACCTTCAAAACCAATATTATCTACATAGGGAATCCCATGCCATTCAGGGCAGCATAATGAGACCCTGTCTAAAAAAATATGCCAGTGTTAATAAATGAGTAATAAATGAATATGGTAGCATGAAGTATCATGATATTAAAAAAATAGTAAAATTCAGGAGTAAGGCAAAGACACCCGCCATGACATTGATCCAGTCATCAAATTGAAACATGAGGAGAGAAAGCTATACACATAAACATATATATATATATATAACATATATATGTATATATGTATAGTTATAGTTGCACGTGGGCTGAGGAGGGCAGATCAACTATATGAGTTTTTAATGCCCTACCTAATGTAGAATGCATCTTTCTATGCTTGTGAATATGCCTAGATAAATCAAGAGTGCAACAACCTGGAGCTCTTCATAAAGGCAGAAAGTATCAGTGGAGGAAAGCTTGCAATGAGACAGCCAGACTTTAGACAGTATTTCCTTACTCTCCTGGTTGATTTTATATTATGTTTATGTCAACTGAACACATTCTAGAGTCATTTTGGAAGAGAAAATGCCCTCATAGAATCTGTGGGTAGCATCTCTCTTTTCCATCTCCTCTCTGGGGGACTGGAATGGCTATCTGGGAGCATTGTATCCATTAAACATGAGCTTTTTAAATTAAGTTTGATTTGGATTACTGCATCAGTGGAGAGTGCATCAGTGGAGAGGCTTATCAGGATGCAGAAACTTTTCACCAAGGATTTTAGGAGTTGGTATCCTGGGAGACAAAGGAAGACAATATATATATATATATATATATATATATATATATATATATATATTGCACAATATCACAAAACAGCAATTACTAGTATGTATATATCCTGAGACATTTCTTACCACAGAGGAAGGAAATCAGCCTCTGGCAAACGTAAGCAACCCACATGCAGGTGGAAAATCGTGCAAGGGCAGTTTTTCATTGTATCATCGCAGACTTGCGCTCTGGGAGAAGAGATTTTTCATCTATAATTGTTTTGTGAGAAATATATATGTTGAGTACAAAAACAATTGTGGGTAGACAAGCCTATAGTTCATTTTCTTGATTAATTATTGATATCGGAAGGCCTAGTCCATTGACGGCAGTACCATGTCTGGTTAGATGTTCCTGGATGGTATAAAAAAGTGGGTTGAGCCAGGTGGTGGTGGCACACACCTTTGATCTCAGCACTCAGGAGGCAGTGAACTCTGTGAGTTCAAGGTCAGCATGGTCTACAGAGTGAGTTCTAGGACAGCCAGGGCTGTTAAACAGAGAAACCTTCTCTTGAAAAACCAAAAAAAAAAAAAAATAAGGAATTGAACAGGCCACAGGGAGCAAGTCAGTGGGAGCACTCCTCTATGGCCTCTGCATCAGCTCCTGCCTTCATGTTCTAGTCCTGATGTCCTTGGTTGATAGACTACAAGCTGTGTTATGAAATACATCTTTTCCTTCTCAAGTTGCTTTTGGTCATGATGTTTTATCACAGCAACAGAAACTCTAAGATACTTACCATTCATTAAAGAAGCAGAGGGAAAAGACACAGAAATGCACAGACACAGTGAGGCAGAAATGATTCAGAAAGACAGGGACAAAGAGTGCACTGCCAAGCATCATGAGAGAGGAGAGATAAAGAGGAGGGGGAATCACATGACATATTGTTAGCCTTGGGAAGTATGATTTCCGTTAACTTTGGTCTATCTTTCATATCATTGTAATGGTGAGAAATAAAACATTAAGTTGAGTGGCCATGACTCCAAAGCCTCTGTGTTGTTTAGTTTCCCATGTCTGTGACCAAAATGACTGAGGGAACAGATTAAAGGAAAGAATTGTTTAATTTTGCTCAGTATAAGAGATCTGAGTTCACAGTCCTTGGCTGTGTTGATTTTGGGTGTTTGGTTTGAAAACAGGAGGCAGAGGCTACTGATTTTGTAATAAATAGGAAATAGAGAAGGGACCAGGGATGAGGCAAAATTTTTGAATGCACACCTCCTGGTATCTATTTTCTGCTGCTGTATACCATCCCCCTTATGATTATAGATCCTATCATAATAGCAAAACCATTTTGGAAGCAATCATTTAACACATGAGCTGTTTTCATGGACAGGTCACACCCACACTATAACACCATTAAACAAGGTCATTCACCATGCCATTCCTCTAAGGACGTGTCCAGGGTTATCAACTCAAAGGAAACAGAAAAATAAACAAAGCCAAGGACTGTGAACTCAAATCTCCTATACATATCTCTCACGACTTGTTGCTGGTTTCTCAGTCAGCTGTGAGCTCTTGGCATTAATGTGTGAGGTGCATGACATCATTTGGGGACTGACCATAGAACTGTCTTTGCTTTCTTTTGTCATCTACTTTCTTTTTCAGAATTTCTGGGGTAGGATGTGTTTGCTAGTGAACCTCTAAAGTCCATGATAAAGATCCACATGACAGGTTCACACTTATCTGTCATCCATTTCTTTCATAGCATCTAATCCTGTCATCAGAGGTGGTGACAGTTTAGTAGAGCCACTGCTGTACATAAATGAAGGTGGTGCTAGCAGAGGTGGCATCAACACACTAGGACAGATCCTAGTTGACATGGACAACCAACATCATTATATAGCTGGGATGAAAAGACAAAACTACACATTTAGGAAACACATTTAGTTACCATTTGTAGAAAGTGACAGTGGCATATTACTGTACAGCAACTCTATATTATGCTGAAATACACAGAAAGAAAGTCCCCAGTGTTACTTACTTTTTTAAAAAAAGTTTTCAGCTGGGTATGGTGGCACACGACTTTAATCCCAGCACTCAGGAGGCAGAGGCAAGCAGATCTCTGTGAGTTTGAGACCAGCCTGGTCTACAGAGCTAATTCCAGGTTACGCTCCAAAGCTACAGAGAAACCCTGTCTTGGAAAACCCAAAGTAAATAAATAAACAGGCAAACAAGCAAACAAATAAATAAAAAGTTTTCAGAATACTACCTTACTTTAAGCAGTATGCCACAACGGCCTCCCACTAAAGGTCCATCCACAGATACTGGGAATTTTACTCCAGAAACTCCACCCTTGAGGCTTCCTGTACCAGGTAGAGGACCACAGCTTCCCCCATGGGAAACTTTGCCACAGGCTTGGGATACCAAGTCTTCCTGCACCAGGCCTACTCACAACTTTTGAGAATTTTGCCCCAGTAGCCAGTCTCACATAGCTTTCTCAAAACAAGAGGTCCAGTAAAGATTTTGGGGGGGGAGTAATGTCTGTCACTCATGCTGCCTAGTGTGGTAGTAATTTCCTTGTATTTGATTTTTATTAGCCTTCATTTAAACAGCACAAGTGACTACTGTAGTTCATGCTGCGGGTATAAATTAAGCTTCCCAGCTTTAGCAACACTGATATTTGAAGTCTGTGCTTTGCTGTGTGAACTCAAAAAAAAAGTGTTTTGAGTTCTTTGCTTTAGGCTTAGCTTTGACAACATTTGCATTTGTACTCAGCATGGCTACAAACATAATTCTGAGCACATTAAAGATTTTTAATCACTATACGGTGACTGATAATTAATTTTTGTGTCTTAATTACCATTGTTTCAAGGATTCACAATAAATTAGTAACATAAGATTAGCATTTATAAATTAAGGTAGTTTATTCCTGTTATGATTTTGACCCTTAAAAATTTCAGTTTCTGAACTGAGATTCTTATAATACCAAAATAAACTTTAACTCTTAGATATATCCATGGGGAAACTGAGAACCACTCTTTAAAAATCCCTTTTATGCTGTACTTTTATAAGACCTAAATTAATTTAATAGATCTTTTAATTTAAGTACATAATTAAGTTTTACTGTAGTTTTTGCCATGACTCAGCTCCTCCAAAGGTGATTATCTTGATTAGACATATATTTTAAGTCAGTTTTTGTTACCATGAATAGACCACTATACCATCAGGAATTTATAACTCTCTTATTTTATTTATTGAATATGAAAATTTTTTCAATGATTGTATTTAACCCTTATGCAGCAACAGAGACAGTTTCATTGCTATACCCTACATTGTTAGTGAATTACATTGTGGTTCTTTTGCTTTGTGACTAAAAGCCCAAAGAGGAAACATCTATGTTTTGAAAGAAATAAATTAATAGAATTTAGCAGCATCCTGTCATGATAGCAACTAACCCTAACTCCCCACTGGGTGACACCTGACTTAACTCTGGAGCTACCACCTAGCCTAATGCATCCTTTGTTGACTAGACACCTTTTCTCCCCTGTGCAAACTTTGTTTGGGACTTTTCCAAGGATACAAAAGCTTATGCAAAACTTGGTTCAGAAAACCTGGAAAACTGGTACCTAGTGAATCGACATTACATTTGTCATTGTATTTTTGGAAGCTTCATTCAAGTTGTTCTGAGCATTGGTAATCAATCGGTTAAAGTGTAAATATAGAGAAAAAATGTCCTGGGTATAGGAAATGTACTTCAGATTGAACTCATCAAGGCTGGCGTCCCATGCAGTGGCCAAAAGAGGGACAAATTCATTCTTAAAGTGTCTCTGAGTCTTCCTTGGATGGACCTCGTGAACCCACACCAACACCTGGACATCCACAATAGTAGAACCTTCATCCAGTAATTGATGGAAGAAGATTAAGAGATCCACAGCCAAGCACGGGACAAAACTCCTGGAATCCAGTCAAAGAGAGGAAGGAGGGATTATATGAGCAAGAGGGTCAAGATCATAATGGGGAAATCCACAGCGACAGCTGACCCAAGCTAGTGGGAGCTCATGGACTCTGGAGCTAGGGAACCTGCATGGGACCGAACCAAGCCCTCTGAATGTGGGTGACAGTTGGCGGGCTTGGTCTGTTTGTGGGACCCCTGGTGCATGAGCTGGCTTTTTAGAACCTATTCTCTATGGTGGGATGCCTTGCTCAGTCCTGATGCAGGGGGGAGGGACTCGGTCTTGCCTCAACTCCAATTTATAACTTTTTTTTGCAGGACTCCAGCTAGCTTTATTGATGGCATGTCCAAGCTACCAAAGGGTTTCCAAGAGTCACAGCACAAAGGCTCCCACAGAGTCACCATCCAACAGGTCCCTTCCGTGGGGACCTTGCCCTCACCCTGGCCCTTGACTTCCGCTATTACATGCCCCTGTGAACTGGGCTCGAGTCTCTATCCGATGGTCTCCACAGGATCAAAGCATGGCCACCAGTTTGAAGGTTCCCTCGGGTTTGGCAGGAACCACATGGACAAAAGTCTTGTAGAGTACAGCACCCTTGGGCAGACTCTTAATCACCAAATATATATCATCCTTAAGTCCCATCCTCCATTGACCTTTTGCAACTTGGCCTTAACTTTTGTGGGGTTTTTTTTTGTCCTCATCTGTTAATTTTTATTCTTGGGACAAAAATCTTATTTTATCATACAAAATTCATCCTTACTCAAAATAGTCTCTTTTCCTTTTAGCCCTTTTTTACCAAAAATATAACCCCATTCTTTAAAACACTTTTCTCATATCTAGTCACTGTTTTTTTAAAATAATTAAGATTACCTGTACATGTATTTTTAAATATCAACCTTTTGTGGGGGGTTTAAGACAACTTTTTAAAAATGATTATCTCTGTCCAAAAGGCATTTGCTTCTCTGTAGCTGAGAAATGGAAACAAAATCAAGAGTACCCAGGTTTGGGGGAGGGGCAGAAACAATGGCAGATCACAAGCGTGGGGAAGGGAGTTCCAAAACAGAAAGATTGTCCTATGTCAGTTAGAGGAAGCGGGTTTGGAGACCCAATAGGGAGGATCCAGCATAGCTTTTATCTCAGTCTCCTGCCTAAGGGACCCTTCCCAGATAGAAAACCTGGCCGCATAGCTCTTGGCCACAATGAGGTAGGGTCCTGAGTTGCCAGCTGGCAAGGCTGCCTAGATGCCTGGAGTCTCTGTGGAGATAAAGAAGGGGGTTGCTATGCCCCTCCACACTTTGCAGCTCCTGCTTCTGTGGCTCCACAGCCACCATGTGTCCTACACCACAGCCATCTTGCCCTGGCTGGGACCTTATCATACAGGGCCGGGCTAGTGAGACTATATGACTCGCTCCAACCAGGCAGGGGAGCCCTTTGGGAGAAGGGGTCCTGGAGTTGACTATTTTCTAGGTCTCTGTGACACCATAATCAGGAGCTGAGTAGCGGCAATGAAAGGGGTTGAGATGAAACTCTGAGGGGTGAGAAACCTTGGAGAAGCAGAGAAAGAAATGGTTTGGAGGAAGGACCAAATAAGGAGAGAGAGACACACACAGAGGAGCCAGGAGGGAAAAGGGAGAGATAGCTGGGGAGTCTGTGGAGCAAAAACTGACCAAATCAGAGGACAGAGTTCACTTGAACTGTCAATATAATCCCAGAAAGGGACTAGCACACTCCTGTAGCATAGGTGACAAAGGCAATGGTTCTCTTCCTAAAAGCTGGGGCCCATACTCTTGTATAGAAGGTCTGTTAGATCTCCTCTTCATCCACACTGTCTCTTTCATATTTTCAGCCACCATAGTCAGGAACTCTGGGAAGTCAGTGGTCCCATTCCCTTAGATATCTAGATTCCCGATCTTTATGGGGAGGAGTTTGATGAAGATACTCCATTTAGGATTAAGTGCTCCAAAGCCTCTCACTTTCTGTGCGTTGTCCAGCTGTTGTAGGTCTCTTTGTTAATTCTCGTGTACTTTAAGTTCCTCTTACAAGGGTTATGTGAAGCATTGATCTGTGGATATAGAAATATGTTATCAGGAGTAATTTATATTCCATGTTCTTTTAGCAAAATAATAGTAGTTTTTCCCTAGGGTCCATGACCTGTCTAGTCACAGGTTCTTGGCCACTTTAGCGTTGTCAGATATTGGTTCCTTCTCATGGAGTGGGTCTTATATCCCATCAAAAGGTGGCTAATTACTCCCACAAAATTTGTTACACCATTGAACCAGTAGGTCACTGTTTCAAGTAGAAGCATTTATAGAAAATGATATTGATGATTATTTTTATCCTTCACAAGTGTGCAATGTACTGTATAGCACCATGAGTGCTAGTCCACATATAAGAGAAAACATAATATTTGTCTTTCCGGGTTTGGATTACCTTACTCAGGATAATTTTTTCTAGCTCTATCTATTTACCTACAAATTTCATTTTTCTTAATAGCTAAATAACATTCCATTGTGTGAGTGTACCACATTTTAAGTATCCATTCATCAGTTTGTGACATCTAAATCATTTCCAATTTCTTGCTATTATGATTTGGGAACCGATGATCATGGATTGAAAATATCTCTGAAATGAGATGTACAGTCATGTGGGTATAGCTGGATCTTGAGGTAGATCTAGTTCCAGCTTCCTGAGGAACCAACACTTATTTTCACAGTGGCTGTACAAGTTTATACTCCCACCAGCAATGGGTGGCTGTTCCCCTTAAACCACATCCTCACCAGCATGAGCTGTCTTTTGCTTTATTGATCTTGGCCATTGTGACTGGGGTAAGATGCAACCACAAATTGGTTTTAATTTGTACTCATTTGGTTTAGGATGTTGACTATTAAAAGTATTTCTCGGTTATTTGTGTTTCATATTTTGAGAACTCTGTTTGGTTTTGTAGCCCTTTTCTGATTTTTTTGTTTTTAGAGAGAGAGTCTCTGTGTAGTCCTGAATTTTTAGGAACTAGCTCTGTAGACCAGGCTGGCCTCAAACTCACAGAGATCTCATCTTCCTCTGCCTCCTGAGTGATGACATTAAAGGTGTGTGCCACCACCACTCGGCCCTTTTCTGATTTTTTAACTTAAAATTTTTTTCCATACAATATATCTGATCATCTTATAGTCCAGGCCCAGTTCCTCAGTAGCAGCTTAGTCCTGCCAGAGAAGAGTGGCCCAGCTCCTTCCAGGACTCTTTATCTTTTAGGCATGACATAAATTCCAGGTGTCAGAAGAGAGAATAATTTCCAGATACCTACTGGATTCATTTATTCAAAACAGAAACACTCAACATGCAAAAGTCTTGTGGGAAGAATGAAGAGACACCACAGAACACACCAAAGGCAGATGAAGGCCGTCCTTCAGAACATCTACCACAGAAAGCATGAGTGAATCTCTAGGCTTCTGGAAAAATATGGGGTAGGAAGCAGATGGAAGCCTTAGAGAAGAGCCTGTTCAACCCAGCCTGGAACCTAAAGAGGACACTCCCACAAGGCATCTGAACCCTGAAGAAGTGATAAGAGGAGTAGATGAGCTGGAAAGGCTTAGGGAAACAAAATTTGTAATAGTGCATTGGAGGCAAAGACATTTCCGAAGCTGTCCTTACGCTGTGAGCTCCAGGCCTTGGAATCTTTTTCTCTGATATTGAAGTCTTGCTGCTTTCTTTCTCTTAACATTCCCTAATGTATCTTTGAACTTCATTTTACTTTTAATTACCTAGCAGTATTTTCATTTAGGTAGTTTCGTTGTTACCAGCATCTCATTGGATTTTGCATTTTGACCTATCTTCCATGTTTATTTTTCAGTTGGAAACTTTCACACTTACGTATGGAAATGTGTTCATTTCATGTTATATGATTAAAAATCAAATAAAAAAGCTGCATATTTTTAAAAGCTGCATGCTTAGTATAAGCTCACATATGTAGGAAAATTCTTAATTATATGTATTACATGTATATGTATCTCAAAAAACTTAATAGTCTTTATTTTTGTGTGATATGTTTTAATTTTGCCTTTTGCTTATGTGTATTTTTTAATGAATAAGTGTCTCACAAAGAATTTCAGATGTTTTAATAAGCAGGAGTTAATTAAAATTAATTTATAACCAGCTTGTAGAGGCAATAAAAGCACTAAACTCTGGTGAAAAACTATAAAAAGAAATGTAAACCTGGAATTGCCTCTGCATTTCTTAGCCAAAGGAACAAAACTGGCAATCATTATAGATAAAAGAATACATTTGATAGTTTCCCCTTCCCCAGTTTTTCCCAGAATCTTCCCACCTCCCTACTCACCCAACTACCTGATTCTTTTTTCAAAAAAAAAAAACAAGAAACAAAAAAGCCACAAAACTCTCAAAGACAAAAATGAAAACAAAAACAAAAGAACAATAAGACTACAAAGCCAAACTCAAACCAAAAGTTCACAAAAATTCCATTGAGTTCATTTTGGTTTTGCCAACTACTTTTGGACATGCAGCCTATCCTGCAGTATGGTAGATATACACAGTAACACTCTACTGGAAAAAAAAAGCTGACTTTCTCTTTGCCAGCAGGGATCAACTGCATATAGCTTCTTGGTTAGGGGTGGGACCCCATGTCCATTTTCCCCTCTCAGTGCTGGGATCTCTTCTGACTTGAACCTGTTTAGGTACTGTGCATGCTGCCACAGTCTCTGCGAATTCATATGTGTATCAGCCCTGCTGTGCCTGAAAGACACTGTTTCCCTGGAGACATTCGTTACTTCTGGTTCTTAAAATCTTTCCACATCTTCTTCTTCATGATCCTTGAAGAGATGGCTTTGATAAAGGCATACCATTTACAACTGAGTGCTTCAAAGTCTCTTACTCCCTGCACATTCGTTGTTCAGTTGCAGTTCTCTGTTAATTCCAATATATTACAAGTTGTCTCTCTGATGAGGACTGCGTGAGGAGGTATTTTATTACTATGATCCTTTACCACAGTAGTTCTCAACCTGTGAGTTACAACCCCTTTGGAGATGATCCTTTTACAGGGTTTGCATATCAAATATTTTCATTATGACTCATAATAATAGCAAAAGTACAGTTATGAGATAGCAACAATAGTAATTTTCCTTAAAATCCTCATATAGACACAGCTGAGCTCACCTTTGAAGAAATTCACCTGCCTCAGCCTACAAAGGGCTGGGATTATGGTTATAAACCACCATGCATGGCTTGTGGGAGGTTTTATATTATTTTCTGTCATTGTTTGTTGTTTGAAACGTTGTCAGAACCCAAGTACTTGCTTCTGCCAGGCAAATAATACCACTGATTTACATACCTATACTCAAAAGTGTGTCTTCAGGGGCTTTATTTTTAGGTACTCTCTTTGCCTGCATCCTTCCATGTGCCCAAGGAAGAAAATTCTAGGAACAGACTACAGGATAATATCCTAGGAATTCAGTTCCTTGAAGCCAATTATCAACAAAATGAGCAGAATGTAACTCCTGGAAACAAAGGTCTGAAGGCATCCCTATTTTTGTTCCTCAAAGAAAAGTAATTTAGATGCAACATGGTTTTACATGCCAGCTACTAACGGTGGTCTCCCAGGAGCCAGCATGGGAAGATGTGTCAGTGCACATTACACCAAAGCACAAGATGGAGAGATGAACCCATGTAGTGGTTTGGGGTGACAGTGGAAGACATTCCTTACGGCTATTTCCCCTAACAAAACAAAAAGGAAGAATTCAATAGTTAAAATGGGAAGGAGGAATGCTACTACATGCCTAAAATCTTCCCTGAACAGCAAAGTCAAAATGAACATTCTGTCTTTGGAGGTTTGTAAATTGTAGGTGTGGGTTCGGATGAATGAAGGTTGAGGCAGGAAAAAATCTCCAAGTCAGTCTCTGGAGATCATTGAGGGGTCTGGAATTCCCAGTAGGAGTACTCTGGACAGGGGTAAGTAGATTGAAGGAATGTTGCAGGCTGATTCCTGAAATCCCTTCTAATGATCAGAGCAATCCTTAAAGGGACCATATTATTAAACATCATTTTCTTTGGACAAATAATCCTCAACAAATTAATTTTTCTGCTACTGGAGGTTGAAACTAGGGCAATGGATATGTTGTAAGCTATGTACCACAGAACTATAGCCATTGCTTTTTAAAAATACAAATTTGTTTTGAGACAAGGTGCGATGGTTAATCTTGCTTATCAACTTGATCAAATCTGGAATCTATTACAATGCAAATTTCTGTGCAATCCTGAGGAATTTATTGAATTTCAATTATATGAAAAAGAAATCATGCTAAATGTGAATGGCACATTCTGGTGACAAGCTAGGCAAAATGGTATGGAAGAAGGAAGCTTTTGCTTTAGGCCTTCTTACCTTCCCTCTTGCTGGAAAGTTAATCTGTCTAGTTTCTACTGCATTCCTTTGCCGATACCAGCTTCACTGGGCTTCCAAAGTAGACTAAAGACTCCAGGCCTTCAGGCCTTCAGTGCAAGGTTAGGACCACTGAGATGCCCAGCCTCATAGATATAACAACTATGGGATTCTCAACCTCTCCAGTGCTAGACAGGTATGACTGAACTACCCAGAACACATTGTGTAAATCAGTCTAATAAATCAATGTGTGTATATATAGTTATCCTCAGTTTTGTTCCTCTAGAGAACCCTAACTAATACATGGTATGGATAATGTACCAAAGTTGGCACTGAATTCCCTAGATAGTCTAGGAAGGCATTCTAGTTGTTCTATCCTCTCCCCTCCTCTTCTCTCCTCCCCTCACTTATCTTCCCCTCCTCTCCAATTCCCCTCTCCTTTCCTCTCTTCTCTTCTCTTCTCTCCTCTCTCTGTCAAGCTCTCTTCATAGCTCTCTCAAAGTTCCTTTCCTGTAGAACACACAGGTGTCAAATTCACTATGTAGCCTAGAATGGCCTTGAAATGGCATTCAATGCCTATACCTGCCTACAGTGACTAGTATCATGTAGTTATAAAAACCAGTGCTTAGAAAAAGAAACTTAAACACTTGCATTAAATACTTGGGCTGACTCTGAGGTCTCTGGGATTTGTCAGGTGAGCTAACTCAGACTGTCCCTGGAGTAAAACCTCCCATAATGGAAGTCATTTTGTGTTCAGCTAATATCAGCAAAGTCAACCAACCAGCTATGCATTCCAAGCCATCTTCCTGCTAAAAATTCCAAAAAAATTAAAAGTGGCAGTGACTATGTTCACACTCAGGTAGGCAAGAGAAACATGATACTGAAAACAAATCATAAATAAGCAATAGAAGGGACACCCCCACATGTTGAAAAACAGAAGTTAAACCATCATAACTAAATGTATTTCTGTCCTATTCGTATTCAACATTCCTGACTAAAATACCTGACTGAGAGAACAACTTAAGAGGACGCTGAATGATTCCACATGGTTCAGTCTCAGAGAACTGAGTTTGTAGTTCTTGTCTTTGTTGATTCAAGCATGTTGTGAGACAGAGAACATCACTGTCATGCATGCAGGAGGCAGAGGCTCCCCACTTCATTATGGACAGGAAGGAAAAAGAAGGACAAGGGTCAAGATAAAAATCCTTAAAGGTATACACCCTGGTATCTGCTTCCTCCAAATACATACCATCTCCTTAAGTGTCCAGAACCTCCAAAAATAGCACCACCACTTAGGGAACAATGATTTAATACATGGTTCTATAAAGGGTCCCAAGATTTTAGTCAAATTGAATCCATGATGGAAGTACCATTCAGGCCATAAAACTCAGCATGTAGACAGCACCATCTGCCAAAACTAAAATAAAGACCTAATCTACCAAGGTCCTAATCCATCTGCATGTGACTCCTTTGATGAACCCATGGGACCCTACGTTAGCATGACTTTTGGAGTGATGTGGAATGCCTACATTTACCACCATGACAGCATTCAGTGATATCAGAATGTGTCAACAATAGAGCAACCATGACCCCATGCCTTTGGATATTCATGATGCTCAGTAAATACTAGTGACTGACCACATTCTTGGGCTGGTTGGAAAAATCTCCAGCATTTTAGCACTTGAGAACATGTATAACAGGAGACTATAGAAGACTATCACCCATAATCCACTCTTCTTTTCAGGGATTCTATAATGACCGCCAGTGTCTTTGTTTTCCTTATTCTTTGTCATGAGTAAAGAAGAGACTGTCTTACCACTGTTTTCCATGTGCTTTTCTATACATATACTCAGAAATTTATAATGGCAAGTGCAGTGTCCATCCTGTTTATATTAAGTGATGTAACTATCATTTTTTACAATACTTTTCATATATACAAGTGCATCTTGAGAGCTAAACTTAATTTACAGCTTGCATAGCTTTGCAAATCTAAAATTCCCAGGTATGGTGGGCAGTATTATGGAAATGTCTAAGTAAGGTTTCCAAGCACTTAAAACTGATCAGGGTGGTCTGGGACAGAAAATAGATATATAACTCCATCCAGCACCTTTTTCTATTTTTTGGTACATTAATTAACTGGTTGGATTATAGACTTTAATTAAATGAAATATTGGATGCTTGCCAGTTTATTATTCTTGAATTTGGGTTTTAATTACTGTTGAGGGAGATGAATTGTCAATAAACCTAGTATATATGAACAATAGAGTCAGAGTACATTAACCTTTTACATCCAACTATAAATCCAAGGTTTGAAACAAAAATTTGTCTATTTTCTATGTCATAAAGTTTCCACAAATGTGTTAGTAACAGATTGTTGAGGAATCTCCCCAGTACATTATGAGACTTGATCAACATCTTTGAAAATTTGCCCCTTGCTTCCTTCTTTCTCCATCCTTCACTCCTTTAAACACATTTTTCTTTTTCTTAATTTTTTTCCATTTTATTGAAAATAGATTCTTTCCTCATGCAATATATCCTGATTATGGTTTCCCATCTCTCTACTCCTCCCAGATCCTCCCCACCTTCCCTCCAATCTGGATCCACTCCCAGAAAGTCTCTCATGAGAAAAGAACAAGGTTTTTAGAGATAATGACAAAAGAAAATATAATAAGATAAAATAATAAGTATCACATTGAAGCTGGACAAGACAAAACAACAGAAGAAAAAGGGCACCAAGAGAAGGTACAAGAATCAGAGACCCACTTATTCATACACTCAGGAGTCCCATAAAATGCTAAACCGAACGTTTTTAATATATGTGCAGAGGACCTGGTACAGACACATGGCAGACCCTGCATATGCTGCTTCAGTCTCTGTGAGTTCACATGAACTTTGTTCAGTTGTTTAGAGGGCCTTGTTCTCCTAGTAGTCTCTGTCTCCTCTGGATCTTACATTCTTTCAGCCTCCTCTTCCATGGGGGTCATGAGCTCTCAAGGGAGGGATTGGATGGAGACATGTTTTTAGAGCCGAGTGTTACAAAATGTCTCCTCTGTCTTCCCCACTCCACTCCTCACATAATGTCCTACTGTGGAATCTCTGTATTTATTCCCATCTGCTGAAGTAGGAAGCTTCTCTGATGATGACTGAATAAGGCATTGTTCTATCACCACATTTTTATAAATTAGAATTTTTATTTATTTTACAACCTGATCAGTTTCCTCTGCCTTCTTTTCTCCCGCTCCCTACCCCTACAACCAAACCTCCCACCTTTGGCTCCTATCTACCCACCCCCACCTACTTCTCCACCATCTCCTTTCAGAAAGGGGCAGGCCTCCCATGGGCATCAACAAAGCAAGGCACATCAAGTTGAGGCAGGGTCAAGCTCCTCCCCCTGCAACAAGGCTGGATGAGGCAACCCAGCACCAGGAATGGGTTCCCAAAAGGCAGCTAAGTGCTAGGGACAGGTTCTGACCCCATTGCTAGGAGCCCCACAAACAGGCCAAGCTACACAAATGTTACATATACGCAGAGGGCCTAAGTCGGTTCCATGCAGGCTCCCTAGCCTTTGGTCTAGAGTCCATGAGCTCCCACGAGCTCAGGCAAGTTATCTCTGTGGGTTCCCCTATCACAACCTTGACCACACTGCATAAAATCCCTCCTACCTTTCTTCAACAGGACTCCCAGAGTTCAGCCCAGTGCTTTGCTGTGGATCTTTGCATTGACTTCCATCAGTTACTGGATGAAGGCTCTGTGATGACAATTTGGGTAGTCACCAATCTGATTGGTTAGTTTAAGACACCCTCTCCACTATTTCTAGGAGTCTTAGCTTATGGGTTCATGGGAGTTTCCTTGGCACCAGGTTTCCCCCTATCCCCAAACCCTCCATCAAGACATCCCTTTCATTGCTCTCCCTCTCCATCCTGCAGCCAACCACCCCCGCCCCCAGTTTACCCAGGAGATCACTTCTAATTCTCCTTCCCAGGGAAATCCATGAGTCCCTCATTGGGCCCTCCTTGTTACCTAGCCTCTCTGGGATTTTGGATTTGCGATCTGGTTATCCTTTACACATATTCACTTATACGTAAGTACATATCATGTTTGCTCTTCTGGGTCTGGGTTACCTCACTCAGGATGATTTTTTTCTAATTCCATCCATTTAGCTGCCAGTTTCATGATGTCATTGCTTTTTAGCTCCATTGTGTAAATGTACATTTTCTTCATCCATTCAGTTGAGGGCATCTAGACTGTTTCCAGGTTCTAGCTATTACCAATGATGCTGCTATGAACATAGTTGAGCAAGTGTCCTTGTGGTATGGTTGAGCACCCTTTAGGTGTATTCCCAAGATTAGTATAGCTGGGTCTTGTGATAGACTAATTCCCAATTTTCTGAGAAACTGTCTTATCCATTTCCAAAGTGGTTGTACAATTTTGCACTCCCACCAGCAATGGAGGAGTGTTCCTATTGCTCCACAGGCTCTCCAGCATAGGCTATCATCAGTGTTTTTTATCTTAGCCACTTTGACAAGTGTAAGGTGGAATCTTGGAGTCATTTTGATTTGCGTTTCCCTTATGGCTAAGAATGTTGAACAATTGTTTAAGTGCATCTTAACCATTTGAGATTATTCTATTGAGAATTCTCTGTTTAGATCTGTACCCCGCTTTTTAATTGGATTATTTGGTAATTTGGCGTTTCTTGAGTTCTTTATATATTTTGGAGATCATCACACTGTCAGATTTGGGATTAGTGAAGATCTTTTTCCATTCTGTAGCATGGTGTTTTGTCCTATTGACAGTGTCCTTTGCCTTACAGAAGCTTATATACTGGTCCAGTATATTTGGTGTTCTGTAAGCTTCTTTTACTGTACCTTCACAAGCATGTCCTTCTTTGGGTTGGAAAAGTATTTGTCTATGATTTTGTTGAATATATTTTCTGTGCCTTTGAGCTGGTATTCTTCTCCTTCTCCTATCCCTATTATTTTTAGGTTTGTCTTTTCATGGTGTCCCAAATTTCCTTGATGTTTTGCGTTAGGAATTTTTCTTTGACCGATGAATCTATTCCCTTTATCATATCTTCAACGCCTGAAATTCTCTCTTCCATCTCTTGTATCTGCAGTTCCTGTTCGCTTACCCAGATTTTTTATTTCCAAAATTCCCTTGGTTTGTGTTTTCTTTATTGTTTCTATTTCAATTTTCAAGTTTTGACCCATTTCCTTCACCTGTTTCATTATTTATTCTTGGCTTTCTTAACTTTCTTTAAGGGGTTTATTGATTTCTTCCAATTTTTTGTCTTTGAGGGATTTTTTTTCATTTCCTCTTTAAGGGCCTCTATCATCTTCATAAAGTTGTTTTTAGGGTTGTTTTCTTGTACTTCAGCTGCGTTGGAATATTCATGTCTTGTTGTAGGATCACTAGGTTCTGGTGTGCCCTTTCTGTTGTTGTATGTATTCTTACACTGTCATCTATGCATCTGGGTTTGGGATGCCTATAGATATGGGTATTGATTCTTGTGTTGTCTTCGTTGGATGGGTATTTTGTTCCTTTATTATCTGTCTCCTTCATTGTCTTCTGGCATGAATGAACAGGGTTTCTGGTGATTAGCAGGTCTTTGGGTCCAGTAAGGTTGTCTCAGCTGAGGTTTGTGGGGGATTGGGTGTCTAGATCCAGTGTATCCTCCAATTCTTCTGCCTGCAGGGTACCTACCACCACTACCACCACCCAATGGATTCTGTTTCCCCAAGACATACTCTGATGCCCAACCCCACCCACCTCATCATTCTTCCTGTAGCCAGCCCTTACCTGTAACTAAAACAGACTCCATAGGCACAGGTACAACCCCCACTAGTTGGAAGAACAGACTCCATAGGCACATGGTACTTGTTTGTAGGGTCAAAGGATCTGTCTTTAGTATTCCTCTGAGAGTCATGTATTCTCTGTAGTCAACTCGGGCCTTCTGGCTAGGTCTACAGCTTTCACTGAACATTGTGGGATACCCTACAGATCTAAGGGCATTACCCAAGATAAATCTGGTCTCTATGCTACTGAAGGTTCTACTGAAGCCATTACAAGAAGTGGAAAGTATTTGTGGACATAATCCAGACTCATATGTGGTCCTCTACTTGGGCTCACTCTTCCTACTGAAGCCACTCTGAGATGATTAATTAACCCTGTGCTCATGAGTCCGATCTATATTCAGATCTAGCTCTGCTATGAGTCCTCATCTTCTGCTGAAACCTTTGCAAGACATCTCACCATTTCTCTCAGCCTGTTGTGTTTAGTAAGGGCAGCACACAGCTATAACCCACGCATTCTGGAGCCTGGGACAGAAGGATTAAGAATTCAAGGCAACTTTCTATATGGAGAGATACCTTGCTCAGCCTAGACACAGGGATATGAGGGATGGGGAGGTGCCTTGGTCCTGCCTCAACGAGATGGTAGGACAGACTTAGTAGACTTTCTAGGGGAGGTCTTACCCTCTCTGAGGAGCAGATGGGAGGTGGGGGAGTGGAGGGAGCGGGAGGAGAGGAGGGAGGGAAAACTGGAATTGGAATGTAAAAAAAACAATGAATAAAATCGTTACAAAAAGGACATCAAGGCAAACTTGAGCTTCTTATACTTTGCCTCAAATAGAAAGAGAGCGAGAAATCTTGGAGGACTGATCAGCAGCCAAGAGTATTTTCTGCTCTTCCATAGGACACAGACTCCTATGACCCTTATGTTGGCTCATAAACACCTGTAACTAGTGTTATGAGACCCAATAACCTCTTCTGGCCTTCATGGGCACTAAGTATGCATGTGGTGCACAGGCATTATGCAAGGAAAGCACTCATGCACATAAATTTTAATTAATAAATAAATAAAAAGATGATGACGAGATGATGGATAGATAGATAGATAGATAGATGGATGGATGGATGGATGGATGGATAGATAGATAGATGATCCACAGGTTAGACAGAGATTAAATGGAAAAAGTTTGACAGCTAAATTGATGAACAATTAATCTCCCATACTTAGAAAAAGTTTAGGATAATTAAGAGTGGGTCATTATCAATACTAGAATCATTCTATATACTATAGAATTCTGAGTAACAAGTGAAACCTTTCCACTAGATGTCAGGAGCACTGCCTTCTCTCATATGACAAGCAAAACTGTCATCAGACATTGCCAAAGGTCCTTTTGGACAGAACACAGCTTATGCTGAGAACCTCTGTCCTGTGGTAAATGAGATCTGTGGGAATTTATCATAATCATATCAGCTGTGAGTTCAGAACAGTATGTGTTGTAGTGTGTATTATCATGCCTTTGCCGGGCCCCATGCAAATTCATCCAGGTATGATGGTTTTAAATCTCGCTTTAAAAAGTGTGCTAAGCATTATAAGCCCCTGGGAAAACCTGTCCTTCCTCCAAAGCAACCATAAACATCGATACACAGGTACACCCCTACAGTGTACTTGTCCTGTAAGCCTACAAGATGGGGGCAGGGAAACCTGTACCCTACAGAATGTGCAATCTACTCACAAGTCCTCTGTTGCTCAGTGGGAGGGGAATTTGGGGAGAAGCATCTTCTGCTGCTGAGCTTTGTCAAAAGGGAAGACTTCCTTAGGGACAATTCCTTCCATAAAATCCACAGTGTTTTAGTCTTCATGCTGCAGCCCATGATGTCAGCAAATGATTTGTTTCAACATAGGATTCCCCTGGCCAGATTTTCTGACATCATATAATGACTCACCTTGGCCTTCCTGAAGCCAAGTGCAAGATGTGATTTACAATCTAGTGATCCATTAGTATCTGATGAATCAGGTTTGGCCTGTATCTTACTTATCCCAGAGCCCTTACACCTAAAACCTTGAGCATCACTTCTAGGCCATAAAACAAGTGATATCACTTGTACTTTTCAACAGCCTAAGTGACTTCTGTGTTCTCTTAAGGCCGGGCCAATCCTGACACCTCAGGCATTGTGTTTACCTCAGTCATTCTCCTTACACCTTTGAGTACTGTTTCTAAGTAAACAGAATCTATCTTTATGGAAGAAACCATACAGACTTTGTAAAGAGCTTCATTTCATTGAAGTAAGCTTTGTATATAACTTTCCTGGCTACTCCAGTGCCTATCTGTGCGCACAAGGCCTTCTTGCCCTCTACAGGTTTCCTTGCTCTGGTATGAAATCTTCATTACCTTAACTGCTTAATAGCAACCCTGAGAGGCGAGAGTATAGCGCCCTAGTGGAACATGTGGTTATCCTATTCCAGGTGTGGATTCCACTCGCCCTAAAACTCTATTACTGCTTAGGAGGTCCTTCTTTGACAGCAGGTCTCTTTGCTCCTGGAAAGTCTTCGTATGGGTTAGGACATGTCTGGCAAATATGTGGAAAGTTCTCCACTCATTTTCTGTTTTGTGATTTCCCTTCGAATCATGAGTATCTGAAAAATACAGCGGCCAATTTAGCTGTGGGATTTTGGGTTAACTTAAGCCGTCTTGTGGAAACAGACACATTCCTGGGTGCTTGCACAGCTGGAGACACAAGAACAGAAGCAAGCATGTAGTTCGGAGGTAGAGCTAGTGCCTGCTGTGCACAAAGCTCTCCACTCCACCTCCAGTACTGCAACGAAATAAACACATAAATGAAATCTAGGACCATGTTCTTGCTTTGAATCATCATGAGAATGCCTCAGCATCCTATGTAGTGAAGGCTTAAGACAGAAAACCTAGAGCAGTTTAGGCTGCATGTGGTCCTCCTAAGAGAAGATCCCTGTCAGTTAAGGAGCAGGGGATTCAGCAGTTGACAAACATGCTTATACTTTAATCTGTGAGAGGGTCAGGCAAGAAGATCACCCTAAATCAGAATGAGCCCCAGAAGAGG